CCCGTCTCTACTAAAAATACAAAAAATTAGCTGGGCGTGGTGGCGCGTGCCTGTAATCCCAGCTACTCAGGAGGCTGAGGCAGGAGAATTGCCTGAACCCAGGAGGTGGAGGTTGAGGTGAGCCGAGATCGGGCCGTTGCACTCCAGCCTGGGTAACCATGAAACTCCGTCTCAAAAAAATAAAAAAAATTAAAAAATTTTTAAAAATCTTGTTGAATATTCAAACATCAATCTATAAAACTCGGTCAGTTCGGGACTGCATAGTATGTTATTACAGTGGGATGTATTAATACATGTAGATAGAATGAGGGCATATTACAGAGAACTTGACAGAATTTAGTGTAAATGTGGAAGGTAATGTGCAATCAAATTAGATGACAATGGTGCATTTGAAAAGGTACATCCGACAACTAATTCTATAGCATTGTAGCATTAGCATAGAATATATGAATAGACAGTCATAGTTGAAATCTCCCTAAAAAAAAAAATAAAAAGCACTACTCTTAAATAGCTTAATATCTTTTGAAGAATAACAATGTTGGTGAAACCCCATCTCTGCTAAAAATACAAAAATCAGCCAGGCAAAAAAAAAAAAGAATAACAATGTTAGGAAGCCTAGTATAATAAAAACCTACATGTACATTGGAAAAATGTTATGTGCTGGGGGCTGACAAATACATCACCTGTCATTGAGACCCATGCTCATAACATATATTGACAATTTATCATGGAACTTGCTGAAGTAACTAGAATGTATTAAGAGTTTATAGAACAGTTCTCTGGGCTGCTGTTACTAATCAACTTTGGCACTGAGATTAAACATTTTTACAACTTCTAGCATTTAGCAATTCAGGGAAATGCTGATCAAGGTTTCATTGAAGAATTGGGGCTTGAATGAGAGGATCTCCCCACCCTTATTTTTCATTTGCTCTCCGACATTAACTTTCTGATCTGTGACCTTCATATCCTCCATGTTACCACTATAAATAGTACCTGGATGTCTTCATGCTGATCCATCTTCCAATCTCACCTTCTAGCCTGTCCTCCTTTATAATCCTTCAGGTTTAATTTTAAACCTAGTTTATCCATGATACAGCTTTCTTTTCTCTGAACGCGTAAGCAAGCCCCATCATTCAGCCGTTTTTTGCTGGCTCGTTCTTGAATTGGCCTGTCTGAATTCCAGAGTTATTTGTAATCCTCTAGGAAAAGGATTGTATCTGACAGCCTCTTCTATTTCCCATAGTAAATACTAGTTGATTAATTGTTGGTAAAATTTACATCATAAAGCAGAAATGGCTTCTTCAGTAAAAGAGACTGAAGAATATGCTAGAGACTGGTTGCAATATGAGTGAAGCCTAGTTGGTTTTAAATGAAGTATGCTACTCTTTCATTACTTGAGTGGTTTCAATTTAGAGCATCTCTTGGGTTCTACCTTTAATTCCCACATTTAGATTACGGTCAGATCATTTTCTGTTCCTCAGTTTTGCTTCCAGACCAACATTTTACACTTTAATACTAATCTTGCTAATCTTACACTTAATACTAATCCAACAACAATGAAATATTGCCTAAAGGACAAGTACTGTTAAAGATATTTGTTGTATTTTCATTAAGAAGAGCTATTTTATAAAAGGGATGGACGATATAAAATATATAACGTTTTCAATGAGAATTTTCAGCCCAATTAGCACGTTTGTTTTTCCCTCCAGCAACCATAGTTAAGTCCACCAAATCATCTGGTAACACAATTAAGTTGGGAAACGGTTTGAGTCGTATCCCCGAGGGTCCCCTCCTCTCAACCGTCCAAGTTTCTGGAAGCGACAGTGTTGCGAAAGAATCCTGGCAGGGCGTGGTGGCCCGCGCCTGTAATCCCAGCTCTCTGGCAGGCCGCGGCGGGCGAATCACTAGATCAGAAGATCGAGATCAGCCGGGCCAACACGGTGAAACCCCGTGTATAATAGAAATACAAAAATTAGCTGGGCGTGGTGGCCCGCGCCTGTAGTCACAGCTACTCGGGAAGCTGAGGCGGGGGAATCGCTTGAACCCGGGAGGCGGAGGTTGCGGTGAGCCGAGATCGCGCCGCTGCACTCCGGCCTGGGCGACAGAGCGAGACTCCGTCTCGAAAACAAAAATCCTACTTTAACGCTTAGTCTACGCCTGCAGTTCTCCGCGAGGCGGGGACGTTTTGGTGCGGAGCGTTGCCCGAAGGATGTTTTTGCAGAGGCATTTTAGACATGCCCCTGGGAGGTCAGAGTCGGGGCCGCTCCGGATGGTGAGGTGCGTTCGAACTCCCCTGCAAAGCTAACCACGTGGGCGGGGCGCCGCGCTGCCAGTCACCGAGCCGCCCGGGGCCAGCGGCCGCTTTCCCCGCCCACCCAGCGGCGGCCGCGCATGCGCCGAGCCGGCAACCCCGGCGTCGGCGGCGGGGAAATGGCGGCCGCGGGCTTGGTCGCTGTGGCAGCGGCTGCCGAGTACTCCGGCCCGGCCGCGTCGGGAGGAAACCTGCCTGGCGTTCACTGCGGCTCCGGCTCCGGGGCCGGCCCTGGGTCTGGCCCGGGCTCATGGAGCCGCTCTCTCGACCGAGCCTTGGAGGAGGCGGCGGTCACCGGGGTGCTGAGCCTGAGCGGCCGGAAACTGAGGGAGTTTCCCCGGGGAGCGGCCAACCACGACCTGACGGACACCACCCGGGCGGGTGAGCGCGGCGGCGGGAGGGCGGCCGGGCGGGCGGCCGGGCGGGCGGGGGCGGCTCTGCCGGCCGGAGACCCGGCGCGAGGGCGGCGGCTGCGGGGCAGTTTCAGCAGCTGGTCCCGAGGCTCCGGGTCCGGACCCGGCTCGCGGGGAGAAGCCGCCGGCCGCAGCCTTCCGCCCGCGGGCGGGACCCGGAGCCTGAGGCGGCGGGGAGGGGGCCGGGCGGGGTCGATGGCGGCGTTCGTCTTTCCGGGGAGAGTCGGCTGCGGCCCGGGCGGAGGGAGCCCCTCGCCCCGCCTCGGCTTCCGCAGGCCCTTTGGGATTTGGGGTGCCCGGTGGCCCTTCCCTGACGGGAACGCCGTGCGAGCGCTGCATGCGGGGCAGCGGGGGTGTCCGGACGCGCCGCGTTGTCAGGGAACGGTGGGCCTCGGCCCCGGCGTTTCTCGAAAGCCGTGTTGGGGGCGGCTGTGTGCGTTTAAATCGAACCCGAACGCTGGAACTTCGTTCTTCGCCCCCATCTAGTTGACTTACGAAGTAAATACGCTGGTGAAATAACCAGAACCGACCTCTGACTCCCGTTAGTCTCCTCTCCCACTCCTCATGTCCTCCAAAAACAAAAGTTGAATTAAACTGCTTAGAAAAGATGATTGCTCTTCCTTTTAAAGCATTACTTTGTGTTCCGTATGTTTTCGAACGCGGGAAACAGAATAAGAAACTACGTATTACTTGGTTTTCTTAGTTGTAGGGAGCAGTGTCTGGTGACCGAATTGTTCCTGTTTGCAGTGCCGTCATCACTGCTCACTGCAGCCTGGACCTCCGGGCTCAGGTGATCTTCCCACCTCAGCTTCCCTGGTAGCTGGGGCTGCAGGCACGCGCCACCACACCAGCTAATTTTTTGTTTTTTTGTAGAGATGAGGTTTCGCCATGTTGCCCAGGCTGGTCTCGAACTCCTAGGCTCAGCCATCTGCTGGCCCCAGCATCCCAAAGGGCTGGGATTACAGGCATGAGCCACCGCGGCCTGCAGTGCTTGGTGTCATATTTTAAAATCTCAGATTGAGCACATTTTCTATGCTTTGCACTCATTAAAGTTTGATAGGCATTACATACAATTCACTCATTTTGGAAAAGTAAAGAGAACTAAATCACGAAACTATTCTTTCCAAAGAAACTTTTGTTATAGTATAAAATAGAAGAAATTAAATGCCTGCTCATTTAATCTCTTGTTGGAAACAGTTGAACTGAATATTTTTTAGTGAATTATGGTTTTTTGCTAAGGTAAATATGAGCGTCCACTTGCGTTTTGTATGTGTTCAGGTAGACAGCATCTCAAATTGTCATTCATACCCCAAATTTCCTGCTTCTGCTTAGGAGATGACTATATTACCATATGGTGATTTTGTATGGGTGTGAGTCATTGCAGTGTTAATACATCAAGCCTGAAGCTAAAGAACAAGTTGATTACAGGAGTCTAATCTAGCTCATTATCTCACCTGCTTTTAAATAGTTCTGGGAGCAACATGTTGAGTCCTTAAGAAATGTTTTCTTGACTAAGAAAATCCAAGTGCAATTATGAAGAATAGTAAGTAATACCAAAGAGGTTTTTCCTTACTATGTTCTGAATTTTTAAGTATGATTTTGCCCACACTTTAATAATTTCTTTATAAACAAAATTTTTTATTGGTTGACTTTTTATCTGGCCAAAAAGTGTAAAAAAGAAAATAAAAAGATTACAAGGTATTTTATAACCTATTAGACTAGATTCATTTCTAACATGTAGTAATATCACTTATGAAGTATAAAAAAATCTTTGGCAGACCTTGTTAATTAGTACAAAAATTCAATCTGAATTGTTTTGTTTTAAACAGATAATTTAATGCTGATAACATCACTTATTGAGTATTCACTATTTGCAATTCATTGTGTTAGATATTTTGAAATATATTACCTTGTTAATTGGCACACAACAATTGTGGATTAAATATTATTATCCCCACTTTACATGTGAGTATCACTTAGAGAAAGTCATATAGCTGTTACCACTACATAGTATTATTGGTAGAATTTCAGCCCAGGTTCATCTAACTCTGTTCTTTCTGCTGTACATGCAACCTCTTTTTAAGTAGATATTACTATTTCTGTTTTTACTGGTGGTGGAAACCAGCATTTAGAGAAAGATCTGTGGCTAAAGGACAGAGAAGGGGGTATTAGCCAGGATTTTAGTCTCCTTTGAGGTGACTCCAAAAGCCACAGTCTTTTTTTATAGCAGATACTTTAATTCGGGAGCAACTTATGGTAGTTACTAGGTATGCATAGACCTTATAGAAAATTTATGATTGCTAAAGACTTGGATGGAGGAAAAAAAAAAAAAAAAGAAAGAAAATTTAAAGCCAAGTAAAATTATTTGAATGCTAACATATAAAAGTTGCCACACATACTGTTCTTTTTTTTTTTTTTGAGATGGAGTTTTGCTCTTGTTACCCAGGCTGGAGTGCAATGGCACGATGTCGGCTTACCGCAACCTCCTGGGTTCAGGCAGTTCTCCTGCCTCAGCCTCCTGAGTAGCTGGGATTACAGGCACGCGCCACCACGCCCAGCTAAATGTTTTGTATTTTTAGTAGAGACGGGGTTTCACCATGTTGACCAGGATGGTCTCGATCTCTTGACCTCATGATCCACCCGCCTCAGCCTCCCAAAGTGCTGGGATTACAGGCGTGAGCTACCGCGCCCGGCCCTCATACTGTTCTTTCATAATGTATAGCATGTGCATTGTAGAGCTGTTGTCCTTTGAATATATGTCCTAGGAAACAGCATATATTACCCAATCAGTTAGACATGATTTTGAATTTATTGGGAATGTTTTCTTGAGACTTTCTGTGCTGTTTATTTTAAAAGGTTAATCTGCCCGGGCCCGGTGGCTATCACCTATAATCCCAGCATTTGGGAAGGCCAAGCCAGGCAGATCACCTGAGATCGGAAGTTTCAGACCAGCCTAGACAACATGGTGAAACCCCATCTCTACTAAAAATACAAAAATTATCTGGGTGTGATGGTGGGCACCTGTAATCCCAGCTACTTAAGAGGCTAAGGCATGAGAATTGCTTTGACCCAGGAGGTGGAGGTTGCAGTGAGCTGAGATAATGCCACTGCACTCCAGCCTGGGTGACAGAGTAGATTCTGTCTCAAAAAAAATAAAAAAGATTAATCTCTTAGAAAAAAAGAATATTTGGGAATGGGTGATTTGATCAGTGGACAAGGAAAATCTTAGAAGAAATCTCAGAAGACTTCTTGGAGCAGAAAGGATATAACTTGGATTTGGGCAACCAGAAACAAGAAGGAAAGCTATTTTAGGCAGTGGTCTCAGCATACAAAAAAATTTAGAGTATAAGGGACATCAGTTAATTTTGCCAGTCCATCATTCAATCCCTTCTGGCAACAATACTCCAGTTTTCCTAAGGAACCACCCCTCTCAGTTATATGAACCGCACCCTGACATAGCGTATGCCAACGGCTCAGGCCTAGCTAATAGTATACAGTCCATTGCTCTGGCCATAGTGATTGTTCAGAGGTGGGCACATTTTGCAGTCAGCACACAATAGTAACTGAATTTTTTGTTGTACTATTGAGAAAGAGGCATGCTTTGAGCCCTATGGTTGCTGAGAGAATAGGATATGAGCCTAGAATTTACCAATAAGTAGAAAGCAAAGTCAAAAGATGGGAACAGTAAGACCAAGTTCTGATGTCAGTGTTTGTGCCTTTGGGTCACCTGCCATTCCTAAAGTTAGTGCTACCTCTATACTTTCAAATTATATGAGCTAATAAATTCTCTTTTCTGCTTAAGGTGAGTAGAATGGTTTTTTTTTTTTTTTTTTTTTTTTT